TGGCATTAGCCCAAATCTACTTGATGGCAGTAAGTTTTTGGAAGCTCCAGAGGAAAGTTTTCTGTCCATTCTAAAGGAAAATCATTGTCTCTTTCAGCTTCTGTAGCTCCAGCTTTCCTTAATTCCTTGGCAATCTTTACACAACATCTATCTTCCCCCATTTAAGTTTGCTGTCTTTGTGTCAAGTTTGCTCCTTGTAACTCAGGAGTGATTAGGTTTAGGATATGTCTTACACTGATATGTCCTCAATAGCCTAACAAAGAGAACTCTTCTCCTTAAAGGAATTACATCTCCAAGTATAGAAGTTAGGATTCAAACACAATTTTAGGAGGGTCACAATTCAACCTATAGCATCATCAGTTATATTTTCTTATATGTTTAGCATAACTGATTTAGCATAAATTAGTTCCTTTGAAAATCTATTTTTCTAAACCGACAGTGAATTTATGAACAATTTAATCATAATTGAGCATTTACAATATGCTAGGCAATATTTTAAGGGTCCTTCCTTCATCAGTGATTTAATTTTCATGATAATCTTCTCATTTTCTCTACTTTGATGATGAGGAAACTGATGTGTAAGTAGACTTTAAAAAAACAATCTAAGAAATTTTACCAATATATCCTTATAGCTTTTATGATTTAAAGTTGCATATTTTTCTATGAAGAATCAGTCTCTACTTTTGCCCCAATTATATTGATCAAATATTGGGAGCTCTGGTGGTGTAGTGCCTAAGACATTTGACTGCTAACCAGGAGGTTGGTGGTTCAAACCCACTAGCCTTTCCTTGAAAGGAAGATTGGACAGTTCACTTCTATAGAGATACTGCCTGGAAAACACGAAGAGGGGTTGCTATGAGTTGGGATAGACTCCACAGCAGTGACAGTTTGGTTTATTTTGACCAAAAACAAATAAAGGAATCTTAGTGACCCTATTCAGTCTACTGTCACAAGGGCCCCTACAAATGCCAGCCATTTTCTGGGAGGAAACATTCTCCTTGGATAATGAACACCTGTTGAGAAGTTACATTTACAATGCAGAATGTTAAGCAATGTCATTGTTTCCAATTAAGATAAATAAAATGCTCTTCTTGCCTGACTCTTAGTAACTTGGAATCAGGTAAGGAAGAGTGATATTTATACAAATAATAAAAGAAAGTAAACAAAAGGAAAGGAGTAGGAAAATGAAGCTTATCAATTGACTTGAAAAATAGCTATTCTTTAAATTTCCAAACTGGAATCTTTTGTTTCCTTTGACTCTCATCAGCAGCTTGTTAGATAAGAGTAAACAACCAGTTGCCTTTGAGTTCATTCTGATTCATGGTAATCCCATGTGTGTCAGAATAAAACATGTGTGTCAGAATAAAACAGAATATGCTGTTTTTGGTAGCTGATTTTTTTTTTTTTTTTTAAGTAGATTGACCGGGCTTTCTTCTGAGGCACCTCTGGCAGGACACGAACATCCAGCCTATCAATTAGCATGCTAACCATTTGCACCATCCAGAAAACCAAAACCCATTGATTTAGACTCATAGCAACCATACGAGATAGAGTAGAACTGCCCCACAGGGTTTCCAAGGCTGTAAGTCTTCGTGGAAGCAGCCTGCCATATCTTTCTCCCATGGAGTGGCTGTGGATTCAAACCACTGACCTTTTAGTTAGCAGGTGAGCACTTAAAGATCGGCTCACCTGGGTTCCTGTGCACCATCCAAGGAATCCTTTATGAGTGACTACTCTGAAATCCAGGATGGTGATAAACTCAGCCAGAGGAAGGATCATTTCAAAAGACCTCAATGATAGGACCAATGCTTAGAAAGCTCTAACATGATGAGCAATACTGTACCAGACCTAGAATGTCTTTCTCCTTTGCTCTTGGACATCACACTCTCTGCTTGTTGTTGCCATCGAGTCGGACCCGACTCACAGCAACCCCTCCTCGAGTTTCCGAGGAGGTATCACTACGGGAGTAGATTGCCCAACTCTCTGCTAAAGTTATTAATTACAAATCCTGAAATCAAAAAACCAAGCTCACAGCCGTTGAGTCGGATCCGACTCATAGTGACCCACCTTGGGTTTTCGAGGCAGTATCACTACAGAAGTTGGTTGCCCGACCTTCCTTCCAATGAGTGGCTGGTGGGTAGGTGTCCAAAAATTTTTGCTTAACAAACACATTGAGGAAGAATCCTCGATTTTGTTACAAACTACACTATTTGGGGAAATTAGTAATTTCTTTGTAAAAACTCTCTGATACTGAATAAAATGGGGGCCGTGAACCACAAGGAATTACAAAAGAAAAGTAGTTTGTGACCTGACCCTCTCCTTACTTTTTGACTAGAAGTAAAAAAACAATACAATGCTTTGAGAAGTTTGTCACAATATTGCCTTTTGAATTGATTTTAGAAACCTCATATCCTACAGGTCATTAGGATTAGTAGATTCTCCAAAGGAGTTTTCTCTCTTTCGGGAAAAAAATAAATTATTTGAGTACAGAGATTGTAGGCTTCAGATTCCAGAGTACTGAAGTCATAATTCTTTAAAGTCAGAGTGCAAGGGGGAGAAAAATGGAAGGAATATATCCTAATGTCCTATCTGAAAGGAAGGACAGGGTGTTTATGTGCTACTGTATATAAAGAATCTGACATGTAGGAAAACTTGACAGATATTTCCTTTTTTTTCTGTGGACCAATAAGGAAAAATTGAAATAATTATCAAAAACAAATTCTGAATAGTATAGGGTATTTAAGAACAGTTAATATTAACATTTTTAGTATTTTTTTAATGAAATATATGAAAATATCGTTTAGCTATGAATTCAATTTAAAGTTTCACTGGTAAAATAATTACTCCTTTTTTTCATTGTTGTCTAAGTCACATTTAAACAAATAGTGATAAAAAAACAACTACATCCCAGCAGCCTTAGTAGAAAAATAAGAATAAAATGTTGAATTTTCAGAACAAATTTCGAATGGTTCATTGACTTTGTTTCACCATAGAAAAATCACTTAACCTCCCAGTGTCAGTTTACCCATCTGTGAAATGAGAAGGATAATATTTTCTTATGGGGATGTTTTGAAAATTATTTTGCAAATGTAGTGAATGACATTGTTGCAAGCATCACTGCTCTTTTTCCACTTCTTTAAAGAAGCAGACTATATTATTTATGTACCAGTTGATAGTCAAAATTCCATCTGGTCTGAATTATGTATATTTAGTAGTGGTAGTGTGCTTTGTATTATTTAAAAAGTCCCCCTAGGTTGCTCAAAATTGACCTAACAATACCAGGAGAAGAAGGAAAAGAAGCAAAATATCAAAAAATCATCTGAGCTTCCTATTTATGAGTTGCTAATCTGATCATTATTCCTTCTTTCGCTTTTAGCTCCTGTTTTCTCTGATATAGTTTTTCGCCTCACCTCACTTCACAAAACTGATAGTTCTCCATGTTTCCCCTGCTAGAGGTCACCTCCGAGCTGAGGGCAAAACACACCCCACTCTGGCTTCTGTTGACTTTCAAGTCAACTATCAAAGAATTTATTCCAGACATCTCCTAACCTCAATTTAAAAACTCCACCCTAAAGATTACAAGGAGGTATCCTGGGGAGTTGCTATAGTGACTCTAAGAGGTTGGCACTGAGTAGACAAAGCTACTGATTTTAGATTCTTTATACTTGATAGGTTTAATTATACAATGTGGTCATGAACCTCCTTGCTTGTGTCATTTGGGTCTGGAAAGAAATTTTCCCCTTCAGGCTCTTCTGTCTCTTATGATGCCAGTCAACAGGCTTCTTGGTAATAAGATTCTTTACACCAATAGCTCTAACATAACCTCAAGTGGTGCTTGTAGTAATGATAGAATCATTACAAAACTAAAGAAGAAAAGAGAAATATATTCCTTGGGCATGATTAAGTCATCATAATGTTCTTGCATATGTAATTTACCCTTGACTTAAATAACTACATTGCTCACATAATAGTATTTTAACCTGGCTCTAGCAAGCCATGTTTTATCCATGCTGATAATTGTTACTAGACTTGACAGAGCTCATATCCAGATCATCATCTTGCAAAAGTGAAATTTGTGTGTTATATTTCTGTGTGCATGAATTTTGTTTTTAACTATTCTAAGTACACTTAGTAAATGAAGTTGTTACATGAATTAGTCTAATAAATTAGGGTAGCACTTAAAGAGATAGAAAACTTGATTAGGTAGTCATGATATCCATATTGAAAAGGATTGCTTAAAAATATGTATTTTTAATTTATGATTATTAAATAAGTATACATTCATTGGAGAAGATCAAGAATTTACAGCAAGGCCAAAAAAGAATATTACTTGTCTTTTCTGGGCTAGAATAATCACTTTAAGATTTTGATGATATTCTACAAGATGAACACTTTCTTGAAAAATATGCATTATTTTTTTCTGCAACATATTTTGTATTAGTAAAAATAGCTACATCTACCAGAAACCCTGGCAAAACAGGATTCACTCTATTTCCTTTTTCAGAAATTGGATCTAAAGCCCTAGTATCCATATTTCATAGGCTTTATTCACAATCATAAAAGCTACCAGAGAAGTATTTTATGTGTTTCCTCCACTGCTTTAGAATACTGTAAATGAGTTCATCTAAAGTTATTCCAGTGCCTTATCTTCAAGGATGGCCCAGTTCAGCACTACACAATTAGTGCAAGGTCAAGGAAAATTAATGATTATCATGTTACTATTTGAATATAAATCTTTGTATATGCCCAGGAGGAAAAGAAGTTTTCATTGAACATGCAAGGAATATAGAGACATCCTAATGGTGTGTCAATGCTGTTGTCCTCTGATTAAGATTGTCAATTATTTTTCTATCTTTTTCTAGTTTATAGTTCAGTTGTTGTTTGGTTGGTTTAATATTTATTTTTGTGAAGAGCGAAGTACAATGTAGATTGGAAGTTTTGGAAGAGTTAATCATTTTATAACTTTCATTTAATCAGCCTTTCCCTTAATCCCCTTTTAGGCAGCCAAGGGCAGTTTCCACTAACACAGAATGTAACGGTTGTTGAAGGCGGAACTGCAATTTTGACCTGCAGAGTTGATCAAAATGATAACACCTCCCTCCAGTGGTCAAATCCAGCTCAACAGACTCTGTACTTTGATGACAAGAAAGGTGAATATATTTTCCTTCAAGTGTTTTAATCATATTCTGAAATATTCTAATTATAATGAATTTATTTTTCTGAGATGATTCAAATTATTCCTTTTGATTACCGAACTGCTTCTGCTTGTATTTAAACATGTTAAATATTAAATACTTTATTTTGCAAGTCATAAACACTAAAGATAACCTATGTCAACTTCTTAATAAAATAAAGAGTTCTAATTCTGTTTCAAAAATAGTTTTATGACTTCTCTTAAGAATCATCTTCTTTACAGCTACCTTACTCTTTCATTCTTGTAAATGCTTTGTATAGGTTGAACATTCTTTTTTTATTTTTACTCTTAGTATTGTAGTATATTATTTTCATTAACTTTAGTTTAATGTATTTGGACAATGTTATATGGCTTAGGAATGTTGAATGATTTTATTCTCATGAATTGGATTTGAAGATAAGAATTGTAGAAAGGATTCCTACAATAAAAGCATCATTTGATGTCCTTGAGTCAGTAATCAAAAACTTGGAAAATAAATTGCAATTAAGTAAGAGTTATATTTATTGAAAAAAGACTTGTTGGCAGTGAGGTTTTTTCTTTATGTTTATTGATATTGAGTTGGTCTTAATTTATTAATTGGGACTTATAATTGGATGACATATAGAGTTTTATTGAACTTTTTTTCTAAGAAGTAAGAAAGTTCACATCATATATTTCAAGCAAAAGTACTTACTAACAATGTACACTACATTTCTAAGTTTTCATCACTTGTTTAAACACTGGGGTGAAATGTGTGTCTCTGAACTATCATTAAAATGTTGAGCTGTTGCTTTAAATAAATTAAAATAATATGTTAAAAACATAACAAAACAAAACATAAAAATCTCATAGCCGTTGAGTTGATCTCAACTCATAGCAACCCCTCTTTAGGTTTCTGAGGCGGTATCTCTACAGAAGTAGCATATAAATATCTATGTATATACCAGCTATTCAACACGATTTTAATGTCTGGGTTTCTTATAAATATGTATAGGTAGCACTAAAATAATTTGAAATACGTCCCATTTTTACAATGAAAATAAAAGTCAAAATATGGGTTGAAAAGTCTTCCTATCCCACCAAAAATATGAATTTACTACATTCATACATGGCTGTAGCTTTAGCTTTCTTTCTTTTCTTTAATGTACACTAGAGTGTAAATACAATCTTTAGGTTGTATTGAACCTTTAATATATAATGAAGGATTGATCAAATATGTATGTATTAATTTGACAAATATTTGAGGGCCCCATCATACCAGGAAGGAGTCCAGGGGGCACAGTGATTAAGCACTAACTGCTAACAGAAATATAGACAATTTGAATCCACTAGCCATGCTACAGGAGAATGATGAGGTAGTCTGCTTCTATAAAGATTTACAGTTTGGAAACCCTATAGAGCAGTTCTACCCTATCCTGTAGGGTCACTATGAGTGAAATTTGACTCACAGCAGTGAGTTTGGTTTGGCTTAGTTGTACCAGGCATTAAAGAATCCACAAACAAAAGTCCCTAGACATAAAGTCTACGGGCAAGACAAACAATGAACAAATATACAAAAAAAATATATTATAGACTATATTGGTAGAGGACAAAATCTATGGAGAAAAATGTATTAGAAAAGGAGGGTTAAGAATCCCTGGAATTTCTGTAGTATTTTATTATTTAAAAAGAGTTACTCCTGCTCACTGCCCTGGAGCCAGATCTGACTCATAGCAACCACTCCTTGGGTTTCTGAGACAGTATCACTAAGGAAGAAGATTGCTAATTCTTCCCTCCCAGGAGTGGCTGGTGGATTTGAACCACCAGCCTTCTGGTTAGCTTTTATTTACACTGTTTTCTTTTGCTGTCCGTGAGACAACTAGAGCAGGTATCACTAATAGACATATTTCTATATAAACATATGAGAAGGAGATAATAAAGGTCTCATGATTAAGATGGCAGGCAGACTTAAGCAAATATCGTGACTTTATATTTATGTTTTGATTAAGGTCTTTGGCATATAATCATGTCTAACAAGGACTTCTACTATAGAGTTTTATTGTTTGGTTGGTTGAGTTTGTACTTTAAAAAATGTTTTAAAGAGATTGAAAATGAATTTTAAAACATTAATCCATTAAACACTTACTATTGTAAGTATTTATATAGTTTGGATCTTAAGGACTCTACTAGTTAATGTTATTGATTACTTAATATTTCTGATTAAGAGATTTTTTTAACCCATTATAGAAATTTTAAACACAGTTTATGAAACTACACGTAACTATTTGCAATGATAAATGACTAAAATATCTAATTTGAATTCTTAAGCCCTATTTTAAAAAAGAAGATATGATTCAAGAATGAAAAAAAAATGCTGTGAGTTATTTAACTGCTTTAAAATTTCACAAACATAAATCAAACTAGTTCATATTTCAGATTTACTCAATGGGAATATAAGTCATACTGGTTGAAAATAAATATTGAAAATTTTTTCATTTTTTCTAACAATAATTATTTCTACTATTACAACATGTCCTAGTTTTAATCATTCTAATATATGTAAGCTTTATGTTTTGGTCTTAACTTATTGGTGTTTTTTGGATAAAAGGCACATCTCTGGGGAGAAGCAAATATGCCAGGCTTTACTTTTGTTAAAATTCCCATATATTTGGAGTTTTTTTTTTTTTTTT